TTTTCTTGAGTCTAACATTAGTCATTCGAATATCAGATGTGGCCTTGTCTACCTGTAAAATCAACATAGTAACATTTAAGTGACGCATTAATGAATCTTGTTAACAATTGTTTGATTCTAAGGCCAAAGTTAAAGACATGAAAAGTAACCAAATTCCCGCTTTTTATCAATTTCATCCATTAAAGAAACTTGTCTATCCATTTCCTAAACATGTTTAAACAAATAAGTAATCTTTTGTTTCTCTTAATTGTCGTAATAATTTTAGAACCGTTCGACGAATTTAAAAATAACAAGAAAAAAAAGTCATCACTAATCTTTTTTGATTAAGTACGATTGATCACCTATTAAAATATATCTTTTTAATAAAATCTTAAAATTAATTAAAATTTATTAAAAAATAATTTTAGGATTTGCGAAACAATTTAAGTCTGGGAGTCGATTATGTATAAGGATAGATTAGTACCCCATTACCGCACGTTTAAAACAATACCAATTAATTAATTGTTATCCTTTAATCTTGACAAAAACGATCTTAGTTTCGATATTTACAAAAAAAATTTCCTTTATTTCCTTTATTTATCAAAATTTTGGTTTTTATTTCTTTTATTATTGTTTATTATTTTTTCAACATTCAATAAAAATAAATTAGAACCTTTTTATTGAAATAATTATTAAAATATTCTAGTACGTTGGTAACATTAAAAGAACTTTTCTTCACCTAGAGATTTCTTAGGCATTGCTTCTCAGAATATTTTAAAATCTCATCCTTGGAGGCTTGTATTTATTTTTAATAAAAATAGGATCATACATGCAATGCAAATGACAATATATTAATGTACACATTTATTTTCTTTTAAAAAATTTTATTAGTTTTTTATTATTAATTTTTTTGGAAGAAAAGAGAAATTTTATCATATTAAAAATTTTTATAAATACTTCAATATACTGATAGTATTTAAAAAAATCTTTTCACCTAGAGAATTTTTAAAGCATCCTTACTCAAAATATCTTAAAATCGTATCATTGGGCAAAAAATTTTTCCCTCATTTTTATTATTTTTATTAATAATTTTAGTTATTTTATTATTTTTATTAATAATTTTTAGTTAATTTTTATTTTATTTTGTAGAAAAAAAGGAAGATATTTATTGTATTGAAAACTTTTTAAAATTCCATAATCAATCTATTATTTAATATTATTTTATTTTAATATTTAATTATAAAACTAAATAATAAAATAAAAATAAAAGTAAAAATAAAACAATAGGTTTAGGGTAAAAAAAATGAAATTGGGCCCTGAATCAAATAAATGGAAATCGAACTTCGATCTAAGAATTCAATAAAATCTGAAGAATTTAAAATCGAGGCTCAATTCAGTTTATCCAAACAAATTTAGTGTCTATAATATCATGACCAAACCAAAATTATGCGTAAAATACTAAACCTCATTCATGTCAATAGCCATATTTTTCAGTGTATCCAATCCTTCTGATATAATATCAAGACCTTCATCCTGCACACATGATAAATCCAATCAAATGATAGTGCATAAAGATGCGGCGACTACCAAAAAAATGAAATATCAGGAAACTCACATGCCTGTTTCATTTTTTCCATTTCATATTCTTGTCTAAATTGATTTGACTCTTCAGTTTGTTGGTAAAAATCACTATCAAAACGCTCCTCTGAAGGTTCAATAAAGGGTGGGGAAAGTATGAAGTAAAAATCAATATAAAAATGCATTTAAGATAACAGTAACTCGAGGGAGAAATAAGAGAATTACTAGCACCTCAATTACCTGATCAGTCAAATTTGATATTTTTGTTAGATAATGAAGCAACCCTCGTCCACAGGTTTGGTTCGTAGCAGTTGTAGACCCATCTGGCATGGCTTTAATCCTGTCGCGTAGCACAAGAAAAAGATCAAAATGAGTTTCTTGATCCTCTTTGGAAATTCACTTGACCAGTAATTAGATATCAATTGCATTTTAATAGAAATCCACTGTCAATCTTCTGTGTTCTTGAGTTGGCCTAAGCAATAAAATGCTGAATTTTACGAACATAGACAAATCAATGCCTGACTTTCTTTTAGTTACCAGTAGTGTCACTCTAACTCACGCTTACTGACTTTTTTTTTTTGAAAAAAAAAATTTAGTGCTAAATATAGAATTGAAATTGAGTTCGCTTTTGATACAATATAAGTATAATGTTTTAACTTCATATATCAGATTAAGAAATTAATGCATGTCAGAAAATAATTTTTCAATGAAATAAATCATTTTTAAAGTGAAAGATAAAATTTTAACAAATTAAAATACACAAACTTTTTGTCTTTGACTGGTAGTAGAAAATCCAAATTTTATTGACTACACAAAAGGATGAAGGTAATTATCTTTTGGAGCTTATAAAAAAGGCTTAGTAAACAGAATTGGACCTTCTTTTTAGCCAAAATTTGTAGCTTAGGGACTTCCTCCATCAATCAGGCCTTTATCCGACGAACCTCACCGCTCATTTCCATCGCCGCAGCTCTATTCTTCTGCATCGGAACCATCTCAGGTTTCTTCATTTATTCCAATAATATTTTTAAAAAAATATTAACGCTTGAAAAGAAAACAAGAAAACAAAAAGAAAAAAAGGGGTGAGGAAAGGAAGCGAACATTGATAGCATTATCGGTGTCGACAAGAGCATAAAGGCGAGAGAAGTCGTCGTCGCCAAAGGCATTGAGTTCGCGTTGCTTTTAGGGCTCGTACTTTTCTTATTTCTTGCAGATTTCCTCGACTCGGAAGAGGAAGTCGATCACTGTCATTTTTTAATTTTGGTTTTGGAAAGTGGCAAAAGGGAAAGGAGAAAAAGAATCTTGGATCTTTTTTTTTTTCTCTCGGCTTGATTCCAGTTCCATGGCTTTCGTATTTCGGTGTTGTTTCTAACACCTTGGTATGGGAGCTGAAACACCGCACCGCCTAAGGTTTGCTCTAATAATTATTACCACTTTCTTAAGTAAATTAAGTGCAAGATTCGATGTACTAAAAACAAAGTTCAAGATTCGAATTTCCTTTCATCATTGTTATTAGTGGATTTACTTTCAAGATTAAAAATTATTTGTGCAGACCGTCACACCATCTTCTGTTAAATATGAAAGTAAATGAGAACCTTCTTAGACGTGCAACCACTCTCTCTACTATTCTATTTTCTTTCCGTTAATCTGCTTCCTCTCTTGGATAATATAAATATATATATATATATATATATCATTGTTATCAGTGGATTTACATATGATTTGAAGAAAAAAAAATTATTTGTACAAACAATTATATCACCACTTATAAAAAATAAAAAGGAAGTAAGTAATAGCCTTATCAAGCATGCAACCACCATCTTTACTGCTCTATTTTTCTTTTCTTTACTGCTCTATATTCCTCTTCATTAACTTGCTTTCTCTCTTTTTAAATTCTTCACTGATTTAGGGTGAAACTTAACTCCAACACCACCTAACCTCCTTCTTCTATCAGGTCCAACTGGTTCACTAGCTCAACTTTTTTCTTACCAATCCAGAAATACCCCCAACTCCATAATCTAGCGCTCTTTAGTAATATTTGATAAATAAGATGATGAATAAAATAAAATGATAATCTATCATATATTATTTTTGGTTTGTATCTTAAAAAAAAAAAAGATTGTAAGAAAAATTAATTATTCTCTTGCTATAAGATAATTTAATATTCTCAAAGTAAAGAGAATTATTTTTAATCTATGAAATTGAATTTATATGTTTTATTATACCCATTAATAATTTAAATTGTATAATTTTAAGAAAAAATAATTTTTATCAATAAATAATTTTTTTTTTTTAATCTTTGTATACATCAAACACAAGATAGTATAACATTATTTAATCTAATGCTAACCATAATATTATTTTATCTATTCTATCATATCTTATACACCCCAAACACACACTTTACTAATAGAATTGGATAATTTCCTATATTCTAGAATGAGACTATAGTAGGTGTTTTCATAATTTGATTTTAATTGAATTAATCGATCGAATCAATTTAATTCGATTAATCGATCAATCAATCAATCATTAAATTAATTTTGGTCAATTAACGAAAATTATTTTAGAAAAATTTTGGTTTTTGGTTAATTTGATTCAAAAATCAAATTAATCAAAATTTTAACTAAAATATAACATAATATAAAGATAAAATAAAAAATATATGAAATCGATTATTTAATTTCATAACTTATTAGAGTTTTTAACATAATAGTTTAGTATTTAAATATTTTATCGAATAATTTTATTTAATTTATTTAAAATATGAAAATTTAAAAGTTTAAAGTATAATTTATTTTAAATATATTTATTATTCAATTAACCGAAAAAATTAACTGAACCAATTGAATTAAATTCGACTTTTAAATTCAATTAAATTAATAAAAATAATATAATATAATTTGATTAATTCAATTTTAAATAACTCAATTCAAAATTAATTGAACTAACTAAATAAACACTCTAGATAGTATTACTGCATTAGATAATTTACCATAGTTGGAAGTATTGTTTACACAAAGCCAAATGAGAATTTGGTGTGTCTTAAGATAAAGTAGTTACAAAATTTTACTCAACGAAACAAGATTAATAAATTTACACCCTCATCTGGCTGCCTCTATCAACATAAGACGCATAGGGATCAAAGGTAGATCTACCCTTTGGATTAACATGTTCATGGAGATCTTTAAAAAAATTTTTCATCAACAAAATTAATAAATTCTTCTATAGTTTTTTCATATATCATAAATGACACTTTCTGTCGCAATCAGAGCTTAAGAAAAAAAAATGTAGAAACAATTGCCTTTTCTTTCCCTGAAAATGTAACCTTTTAAATCCCATTGTACAGAAACAATTAAAATTAGTAAAAGGATGAGCAATGCCCATTTCCGCAACATTATAGAAGAGGGTGGAAGGGAAAAAAAGGAGATTCATTTTGTCGGAAAAGTAATAAAATGAACGAAATTAGAAATTCACAGCATCAAAAAACACTAGATAACGAGCATGCCATCCATTATTTACAGAGCTAAAACCAAAATTGCTCAAACGAAACCACAACCCGAATTTAAAAAAAGAAAAAGGAAGAGTAGAATTCAGTTATAGATTCATGAACCGGTCACAAATCCGGAAAAGAAGATCGGGTTCGGGTCATGACTCAGGGCCCAGATCCGGCTTTGGCGCGATAGAGCTTGCCGAAAACGTGGAGAGCGGTGACGAAGCCAATGAAACAAAGACTCATGACTAGGACAACGGTGGGGGAGATCTTCAAGCCCGGAGCATCGTCGGTGTAGAATCGGAGCATGTTGCTTGCAGAACCGGAGCCCACGGAGTCCGAGGCGGAGGCAGAGGAGGCGCCTGCGACAAGCCTGCGGCGGCGCATGCCGGCTGTTGCAGCAGCTGAGCCGCGGGGAGCCATGACGCCTGGACGGGATGTGGTGGAGGAAGCGGCGGACTGCGACTGAGAGGAACCTCTTGCCATGGTTTGGGAGAAGGAAATGGGAATGTTTTTTCCCTTTTTTTTTTTTTTTTAAGGAGTGAACTGCGGAGGTAAATGGGTAATAATTTGGACGATCAGGGATTGTTAAGCATTGACTAATTATGAGCGTCGACCGTAAGGGGGTTTCGTTATGAAACGAGGAGATCGGGTAGGTTCGGGCAATGAGGCGGTTTGGTTTGGTTTAGTTTGGTGTTTTCATTTTACTTTTTTAATATAATTTAATAATTATAAAAATTATATTGTTTTACAAAATTTTTTAATATTTTATCCAATTTTTCTATTAATTTTATATGTTTCTAATTCCTATTAACAAAAATATTTTTAATTTTTATTTAAAAACTTTTAATTTAATTTAATATAATTAACCACCAACTAAACATTAGCTTATATGGCAGGATATGTGATGCGGAAATTATTGTGCATCTCATGTGAGTTAAATAAATAGGATAAGAGGTTAAAAATTGTCTGTACGCAGCTGTTTATACAAAAACAAATTATGCAAAGATAATGAAAAGTTTATCCTTGAATTAAGCTTCATTCTTTTACCAAAAGAGTCCAAAAAAAAAATATTATGCTTCACAGGATGATTCAGAATGATCATTTGGCCTCATTTCTCCCTTGGCCAAGTCTAACTCGTGCCATCAGCCATCTGATCATGGTATATACATACCATCTAATTTAGATCCCAAATGTACGTTTACATACTCATTCTTCTATCAAATGAAAATTCTTTTGGCCCTATGTTAATTTGGTGCTGCACAGGTTTACGTTTTTCACTTGAACTCGGATCGGTTATATCTCTATCATCGTTTTTTTGAATGTTTTCCATTATATTATGATCGTGAGATGATGAACCATCACCGTAATTGGGATGGGAGGAGGACGGCGAATCCATGTCCCATTGCTCGATATTGAAATTCGATCTCCTTGGAGAAGTATGGAGGCTGTCCATTTCGCTCGGCCGGTAGTTTCTCAAGAGGTGAACCGGGGAGGCATGGTGTGATGGGGTGTTTGGTCTGCTGGAGAAAGGGGTCACCGAGCCCTTGTTCTGTTTGACATTTTTCTTAGCCGTATTGTGCCAACTCCTTAGAGCCCTGGCCACTCTTTCGTTGAATATGGTTGGTTTCATGTTCGAACCCATCTGATCATAGCAAAAATTAATTAAATGGCGAACAATTCCCATTAAAATTTTATTGCTTGGAAAGTTGAAAATATAGTTTATAGTCAATGAATAGGGATCGGATAATTCTATTTTTTGTTTTTCAAAATCGAACCAACCGGTCACCCCTCTCAATGTATGTTTTTTTATTTACCTGTGTAACAAGGGCGTAAAGGGGAAGAGTGACATAACTGCAAAGAATTTGAATGAGAACCCTATAAAAAAAATAATATACAATGTTAGAATTCCAGAGGCATTAATTCTAAAAACTTCTATTGACATGGATGGCTGATGAGATAGTTTGAGTTTTTACCCCATTGAAATTCTGATGACTATATCTTCCACCTTCTCATGGAAGCAAGATTTGAATCCAAATTCACGCTGTACCCAGAACCAAAAACAAGAAATTTTATTAGAAATTCATACTTGTTCACATAAAAATTAAATTTTATAATTTTAAATTCGATACGAAAATAATATAAATGTACATAAGGGATCATTTTTAAAATTTTATTAAAAGTGAGTTTAATAAAAATTAAAAATATATTTTGTATTTAATGAAATTAATTTAATAATTTTTATATTTTATACATATTTAACACAAAATAAATAAAATACAAATACACAAATTTTAAGTTTACAAAAAATCAAACCCTAACAAACGTGATAACTACGAACAGCAGAGAAAAAGGGCAAGAAATGTACCCAACTCCATGCAAAGAATGCAAGCTGGAAGGCATTCTGCAACAAAGAAAAAAACAGAAATTTAATAAAGGAGTATATAATTTTGAAAGATTTCATAAAGATAGTTATACCTGGAAAAGAACGAAGTTGATAAGATGAAGAAGGAGTCTGGGGCGGTTGAACCAGAAAAGGTCATCGCCAGGCTGAACGACCGGCACTCCTTTCACCACCTCTCCTCTCTCCTGAATTCTTAGCCCCATTTTGGTTATGATCACCTGTAGCTTTGTCCCCACTAGCAGGATGATCTGCGGGTTTATCCCCAAATCAGAGCCGTTAATCTCTTCTACCCAATAATTGGTAACAGATTATGCTGTAAGAAACTGAGATTGAAGATCTAGAGAGATTATGCTTACAATCAAAGGGATAAATGGCAGCCACAGATAAGAATGCCATCCTGTCCACAAAATATAATTGAATTAATATTACTTGAGTCAAATGAAAATATTAAAATAATATTAATATTAAAAAGAACATAATTAATTTACTCACCATGAGTGTTAAAGAGAAGGAAGACTACAGCAAAAAGCCACATTGGAGGACTGGAAAATTGATTTAAAAAAAGGTTCAATCTATAATATTGTAAATTGACAAGAAAAGAAAAAGAGAAATAGGAGTATAAAATAAAAAACCCATTAAGATAGATAAAAAAAAAAAAAAAAAAACAATTGGGATTCAATTCTAAATCCAAAAATTTTCTTCTTTTATTTTCTAATAAAAAATCCTGAAATTAATTACCTGATGCCCACCACGACTTTGAAATCTTCTTCCAATGATCGATTTATGTATTTTTGGAAATCAAATTTGGAGTGGCTTTGGGGTGCCAAGTGTGCCTGGGAAGATATATAAAATTTGATGGTTACATATATAATTACTTAATTAGTGGAATGTTTTAAAATATTTAGAAAAATTTAGGCTTTTAATATATGTATAAGAAGGGGGGAAGAGGAAGGAATTGGGCATTACCATGATAAATCCATGTCGGAGGGTCAAGTAATCAACTTTAGGGACTGACCTAACAAATTGTCTAAAGAAACAAACCTGGAAAAAAACAAGTGACAGTGTGAGATTGGAAACATTATGAAAATAATATCTATGTATGTATATGTATATAAATATATAAATTTTGCATTTAAAAGAAATAGGGATGCCATTGGTATATATTTTTTTGTTTATTAAAGATAGTATACTAAAAATGGAAATTGAATAAAGTTCCAAAGATGAGGTATATATAATAGCTTTAAAAAAAAAAAAAAGAAGTTGCAATTTGGAGAAATAAATTTTCAATTTTAAATTTGTTGAATGTCACATAATTTTTAAAATAATTTAATGAACTAATTAAATTAAATCTTGAGTCCATATATAATAGCTTTTTTTGTACACAAACTAAATGGCTTTTTAAATTACTATACATGAATAAATCTTAATTAGTAACTATTTTGAAACATGAAATAATTGTACTAATTGTTAAATTAGAAAGTTACATAATAAGCCGTATTATATTATTTGGTAGCATAGATCAAGTTGGGTTAGGAATAGTTTGATTGAGCAAATACACATTTAAAAGTCAAATTATAATACCCTCTTTGTCCCATATTATTTGTCATGTATTTATTTTTTATGAAATTTTAAAAAAATTAACTTTAATATATTTAATAATAAATTTAAAAATTTTTATAAAATTAAAATTTTATGATTTTTTATGTCAAAAAATAAAAAATTTTAAAATATAAAACTTAAAAATTTTAGATATTTTTAAAAAATAAAATATAATTTTAAAATATCAAAATAAATAAATAAATCAAATGAGACAGATTGAGTATTATTTATACACATATATTTAATTTCATGCTGAATGAGGTTAAAGAATTAGTAAAAAAAAATATGGGGCAATCAAAGTCAAAAGCATTAATTTCATAGAGCACAGCTGTTTAAACAAAGTCAAAGCGGCGGTGGAAGTTGGAAAATAAAATTGTGTTGGCCATGGAGTTAGTTGGCTGTGGTCCTTGTATAGAAAGGCAGCTAATGGCGACCGTTACCTTTTTCATACATATTTTTTCCGAGCGGAAGACTCGCAAATATTTTTAATGTGATTGGAAACTAAGGTCAAGACAATAGGGTTAAGGATATAATATTATTATCATTTAAGCAATAATATCGAATACAAAGTGTAACTTGACAAAATGACATCTATTAAATTTACTATGCAAATTTCAAAATCTATAATATTTTTTATTTTTATATTGTGATTTAAAAAAAATAATATAAATAAATGAAAAAAATCAACTTCTTCGCATGGATAATAAAATCTTATATGGTCAAATAGCCGAAAAGGCTAAGACAAAAATAAGAAATAAAAACTCTAAAAGAAATTCAAGTTAATAAAAATAGAATAGAGTAATTTTTTCCTCAAAAAGTTTTGCTGTTATTTCTTTAAATAATTTGAAAGTAAAAAAAAAAAAAAAAAAAAAAAAACCTTAAAATTTGTTTGGCGAAATTAAATTGTATTTTGACCACTATTTCTAATGTTTTTGTGCTATATAGTACGAACTCAAAACTGAGGAATGCTCTCATTAAGGCTTTTAAGGAAAATTCGAGTTGTTCTTGAAATAAAAAATTTTACCTCTGACGTACAAATCAAGTCTCAAAAAGTCTTCATAGTTTTAAAGGACAAAAAGAAAAGAAATTGTGGCCAGAAACATTTTGTTTTAGAATAGCATTTTTAGATGACAATAAAAATTATTTTAATTCAGGTAATTCATTCAATTATTCTTAAAAAATAATATTTAATAAATTTAAATTTTAAATTTCGAATTTATAATCTCTTTTTCTATCTCTAAATTATGATATATTTCATTAAAAAAAATAGAGTAAAAGAAGCAACTAAAAGAGAGGGCCAGTGGAAAGATTCTTACAATCCACATAAGGAAGGGGGTTTTAGTCCAAAAGCTCAAATGCCTTCTTCCGAAAGATGTTTCCCTTGCAAATCTGAACCGCTCAGGATCTGTTCAAAAACCGTACGCCATCATCATCATTAATAAATAATAATCAATGAAAGTTTGAATTGATCAATTCATAACCAAAT